AGCTATACTATTCTCAAAGATTATATTTCAGGGCTGTTGCTCAGTCATCTGCCTTCTGTTCATTAACTAAAATAGATCCAATTCACATCACTTTTGGCTCATTCAGTGGGTTCCTGGTTTACATGAAGTTAACGTTCAGTAAAGCTAAAGAAAAACCAGAAGGAAAAGTATTTTTAAATCACTTAGGGAGATTCCAGAGTATGCTCAGAAGCTGAAAATGCAGGACTACCAGAATCATTTTTTTTTTTTTTGTAATGTAATTCTAAACAACAGATCTTTCAGAAAAATACTTTCACTCAGACATGCCAACTAGTTAGAAATTCCAACTAATGTTTTTTTTTTTTTTTAAATGAATTGGCAGGAAAGAGTATAAACACCAGGCAGCAGTGGAAGAGCAGGATTTCCAGAACACAAACAAAAGATCATTTGTTTTCTAGGTCGCAGAGGATGTAGCAATGCAACTTCAGTTTAGTTGTAACAGCCGAGTGTAAGACTAAATCTACAATCTGAAATTACTCTGAAATTATTCAGCTTTGTCCAAAATAAAGAAATCATTGGCTGCTTTTCTAACAGGGAATGCATTTTGAAAACAGATTATTGTTGCTATTGCTCTAAATCAAACCATAATAATAACCATATAAGAATAAACAGAATTTTCAATAAAAGAGCTGGAAGACCTATGGATGACAGCAAACAACTTCTTTTTTTTAATTTTAAAAAATACTTTATTTAGTACAAAGGATTAAAATATACAAGTATACAAGAGTAAAAAGTAGTAGTCATACAAAAAAAAAAAAACAATAGACATCAGCACAAATCATATTTCTCTCTAATACATTTGATAGTGGTTTAAATAGTTCATAACAAATATCGAATGGCAGGTATCCTTATCCCTTATAAACTAAATACTATTTAATAAATATTAACTAATAATCTATTATTATTGTTGGATTATAACTCTGTTATTTTATAAATAAATCTTTCATAAAGCTTATTCGGTGAGAAAGAGAGATAAAGCTAATGTTTTATAGATTGCTATCATTCGATATATATGTAGTAATATGTTCATAGGTTCATTTATTTCATACATTCTTTTTCTTATGGTCTATCCAGTTGTACCATTTATCCCAAATCGAATAATATTCAGAATCATCTTTTCCTTTTAGTTTTAGTGTAAGCCTCTCCATTTTAGCATGTTCATAAATTTTCTGAATAGTAATATGTATAGATGGTAAATTAGGTTTTTTCCAATATTGCACCAGTGAGATTCGTGCCGCTGTTAATAGATGAATAATCAAATATCTTACTTTGGGAGGATACTCCCCTTTAATTATCCCCAGGAGGTACAATTTAGGTTTCCACTCCAATCCGATTTGGATAATTTCCTCTGTCCATATTTTGGTTCTTATCCAAAAAATTTTAACCTCTGGGCATGTCCACCAAAGGTGGAAGAAGGTACCAGCAGCAAACAACTTCTAATTGAATCAGTCTTATGATTGGGTGGTTACCCATAACCAGCAGAGGATATCACTAAACACATTCCACTCCATACTGTACCTGATCTATATGCAATCTTCAGTTTACATAAATTAGTTTAATTTCAAAAGTTCTGGGCCATCAACTGCAGTCAGATAGTCATCAGATACTCCACTGGTATAGTGAAGTGGCCAAAAGAGGACACGTTGGCTACTGATGTGAAGCTTCCATTCCAAGTCCAACTACCAGAATGTCACCTAGAAAAAGGGCTAATGCACTAGATAGGACCCAGTGTGCAAACTGTGCAAAATAGCCTTGGAGACAGGTGAACACATAGTGGCAAGGTGTAAGATGCAGACAGGAATATCAGTAGCTGGCATTGTGAAGGAACGTTTGCACAGTTTAAGGGCTACACCAGTGGTGGGATTCAAAAAAAATTACTACCGGTTATGTGGGCATGGCTTGGTGGGTGTGGCGTGGCGTGGCGTGGTGTCCATGGCAGGGGAAGGACACTGTAAAATCTCCATTCCTCACTCACTCCTGGGAGAAAGTTACTGCAAAATCCCATTCCTTCCTCACCCCACTAACCTGCTTTCCAGCTCTGTTCTCCTATGCAGGGCAACCAAAGAAGACCCAGCCAATCAGCTGGGACTCAGGAGGCAGAGAATAGATGGGGCCAGTCAGAGGTGGTATTTGCCAGTTCTCCGAACTACTCAAAATTTCTGCTTTACAGAAGTGGTCAGAACCTGCTGAATACCACCTCTGGGCTAGACTCCTGCAAGTCCAGATGAATAATCCCACAGAAGTCAAAAAGAATAAGAGAATAATAGTCCAAGAAATCGAGATGAGCATCAATCCATAGAGTCAAATATGACTGGGCTGTTGAAACCTTTACTTTTACCTATATTCATAAAGTATGACTAATAGACGGAGAAACAGTTTCTTTTCCAAGGCAATAATTATCTTGAATCAAAACAGTACATTTGTGATTTAGTTCTATGTATAAAGTGGCATTTTTAAACTATCTAACTTAATATACATTTTAAATAGGCTTTAGACTAGGTTTTTAATTATTATTATTATTATTACTTTAATTATTTTAATTTTTAAATACTGTGTCGTGTGATTGTGATGTGGTGTTTGGGGCACTGTGCTGGAGTAGCTTTCAAATTTCATTGTATTTTGAATGCAATGACAATAAAGGTATTCTATTCTATTCGTAAAATATAAACTTTCTCATGCATGCTGTAAAATATGAGGAAATATTATCATGTTAGGAGCAATGCATACCTATTGTAAATTGGTGTGCTACCCAACTCCCAGTGACTGGATGGCTGACACTAAAACAAGAGAATCGTATTTTCTAAAAAGGGGGAAGGGCAAGAATGACAAACAAAACAGGAGAAAAAACAATGGCCTGTTTCGATGGTTGGCATTACTGCTGATAATGATCAACCTGAAAGAATATGATTCCCAGAAAAAATATTCTGGAAGATTACAGGAATGGCATGAGACAAGACTACAGAATAAGTAACCAATCGGAGACCCAAGAATGATAAGCATCTGTTTAGGAGAATGTCCCCTGGTTTCAAAGAAGTCCATTTTTCTATAGCTATTTACACCCTTCCTTTTAGGTAAGACACGGTTCAGTCTCCACAATGCAGTCCCTTGTAACCTAGAAAGTCAAACTGCATATTTTCAAAGGAGCTGATGCGGAAAGTAGCAGGTGTTCAAACGGTGCAGGATATTGTTGTTGTTTTTAAACGCTGGCTCTCCAGAATTGATGGGATGTGAGGGGGTGGGGAGAAGCATTAGACTGTGCAAGCAGCAAAATATTTTGAGCCAGCAGTATCGTATTACAAATACATTTCTTTCTGGACAGGAGCATGTGTGGAAAAAAAAGTAGCCTGCGATTGAGGCATCTTTCCTCCCTCTTTGCAAAATTGAATATGTGGAATGAAGTGACAATAGGATAGAATCAAATAGGAATAGGAATAGGAGTGGAGTGAAGTGGAATGGAGTGGAGTGGAATGGAATGGAATAGAATAGAATAGAATAGAATAGAATAGAATAGAATAGAATAGAATAGAATAGAATAGAATAGAAT